TAGATACAAAAGTATGAAAATATTTTAGAAATAAACCTACAAGTATTTTATTTATTTAAGTAAATAGAGAACGTTATCTTATTTAAACGTAAAAAAATGATTAAATCAAAAGTAAGTCTGCATTTGTGCTGTAATCAAATGGATGTTAATAATTTCCATTGTGATTGTTATTGGATATCTGTTCAATAGAAGTATGTAAATAATTAAATATTTATTATAACGGCTAGCGGCCTGTAATAATTGGTCGACCGTAAAATTATTACGTAGCCCTTTTATGGCTATTGTAACACATTGTAAAATTTAAGTATCTTTTTGCTCGCAATTGTAGTTTTTATATGAGGAACTGGGTACATAGCAAAAATTACATAACAATCGTACCAGCAGCGCTGAATTCAGTTAATTTTTTTTACTACGGCACTTGTAATAACTATTATTTAAACTATACTCATCGTCCTGAACATAACTCTGTCGATAGACAGAGTTGTTTCTATTGGATACAATAGAAATAAATTCTGATTTAGCAAGGCTTTGAGAACATTAAACATATTTAAAATTGTTTTTATTTAACCAACTTCGTGTTAAAAACGTATTATGTATTGTATATAATAAAGAACTGCACATCATTTGTGTTTCGAATCGTTTTTATGTTATACAACATGCTTGTAATTAAAGTAATATGTATATAATAAATTCGCGTATAAATCTGCTAAAGAAATTTTATTAAAAACTAGTTATTAACACATACATAGCCGAAATACCAAGACGTATGAGTACACGAGGAAGGAATAATTAAGCGACGGGGAATAATTTCACTTAAAAAGCTTTTATCTTCCTTCATTACCTTTAACGCTTTTAGTAATATGTATATTATAATTAGCATAAGCTAATTACCAAGTATGAATTTGGTAAAAAGAATACTTTGACACAATGTTTCGTGTTTTAACTTGTAGCAAGTTACGTTTATTTAATGCGACTGACTTCTAACTATTACATAATAATTCAATATAGAACAGCAAGACAATAATATGGAAAAGTAAGAAATGCGAAAATAGTTTATTTAATATCATAATTATCTATTGAAACCTTTTGCCTGCAAAAAAATATTTGATTCCAGATCGATATACATGAACTAAATGTTACTAACGGATTCGAAACATAGACACAACACAATACTTGCTGCAATAGATTACTACGATTCGTCATTTTATAATGTTACACAACGATTTATATAAAACGGCTGCGAAATTAGTTATCTCGTCAATTTAAGAAATAAGTACACTGAATCCAGACTAGTAATTCTGGCCGATCATGAGGTCATTAATATTATTAGGACTATTGTTATTTTACGTCGCTTACATTGATGCGAGACGCTTAAAGTCATTAAAAAAAGATGTGATTTACGACAAAGACAACGATCAGATAGATGCTGCTTCAGAACATAAAAAAGCAGAAAAACCCCAGGATCACGAATTCAAAAAAGGTGGCGGAAAGGATCATCACGCTGAACATCACGATGATCATGGTGAAAAGGGTCATAAAGGTTATAAGGGACATCATCACCATGAAGAGGGTAAAAAAGGGCATCATGACAAAGAAGAACATAAGGGAGAATACGATGATCATGGAGAAAAAGAAAAAAAACATCATCATGAAGATGGACATTATGATGAACACCACAAGGGCGAAAAGGGCGAAAAAGGACATAAATATGCAGAGAAAGGACATTACAATAAAGGACATTCAACAAAAGGCCACCATGAAATTCATAAACTAGATGAATTCAAAAAAGATAAGCACTTCTTTGATGAAGATGGAGATTCCGGACACGAGGAAAAACACGGAGGGTTCCACGAGGAACATGGTCACAAGAAGGGTGGAAAATACCATAAGGGTCATCATCACGGCGACCACCATGAGCATGAACATGGGGAAAAGGGCCATCACGAAAAGGGCGGGAGTCACCACGTGCATAAAGGCCATAAGGAATCCGGAGGACATGATGAACATCATCATCACCACGCTGATCACGCTAAGAAAGGTAGCCATGAACATCATAAGAAATGGGGATATAAAAAAGGTCACTAGACCGCTAAATCAAAGTGAAACAATTACCGATTTTACAAGGCTTGCTGCTCTCGTATTAATATCTGGTCAACTATTTATTTAATAAAGGTAGTTATTTAAATGTTATTTTATTTAAAAATGTATAATTGTTGAATAAAAAAAATATCATTCGTTTTTGTTTTATTATGACGTATAACAAAAAGACGTAATTTTTAGACATATTATTTATTTTGTAATATGTAGGAAACTTAAAATTATAATCGCGTTAAATACCTATATTCCTAAAAATTAAGGTCCTTATACTCGATGACCCGTAATAAATGCATCTTGAAAATGTTTACAGCGGTCATTCAAACTTTTTTACACTACTAGGTGAACTATTTCTTCGTTTCTTTCATGGTAATATGAGTATCTCTTTCTTTAATTGCATACTAGAAAAATGTTCAATTTGTTTGAGGGTGTAATCTACTGATAACGCTTCTACACTAATTAACGGGCAAATGTGGGGCTTACTGGTGTCACACCTCACACTAGATTTATTGCTCTATGCGACATACTTTAAATCCTTCACGCTGTGAGCAACTGTTACTTAATGCGACATTTATTGAGTGACATTCGCTAATTACTTACTAAATATGTGTGATTGCTGTCTTGCTGATATTGATGGTTGTTATAATAATATTAGGGCAAAATCTACCTAATTGTTTTTGTTATGATTATTCATATTTTAATAAAACAGTATATCTAGTAAAATACATTAATTAATAATAATATTTATTAAATAGATGTAACAAAACTATTAAATTAAATGCATTTCAAAACAATCATTAAAAAATATATTACACAGTTTTAACAAGAGTACTAACTACTTGTACAATTAATGACCTTTTTTAAAGCCCCAATGTTTGTGGTCTTCGTGTTCTCCTTTCTTCCCATGATCGTGGTGATGACTATGATGCTCATTATGGCCGCCTTCATCATGATGTCCCTTGTGTTCATGGTGGTGTCCTCCCTTCTCATGGGACCCTTTCTTTCCATGATGATGTTCATGGTGGCCTCCGTGCTTATGCCCCTTAGCAAAGTGGCCCCCCTTTTTGTGCCCGTGCTCATCATGGTGGCCGCCGTAACCTTCTTTAAATCCTGACTCTCCGAATTTTTCATGGAACTTTTTATTTTTCTTAAACTCATCTAATTTGTGTATGCCATGATGGCCCTTTGTTGAGTGACCTTTATGAAAATGGCCCTTTTCTTCGAAAGCATGCCCCTTTTCTCCTTTTTCACCATGATGGTGCTTTAGGTAGTGGCCATCGTCGTGGTGATGCTGCTTTTTGTGGCCCCCATGCTCACCATGATGTCCTTTGTGTCCTTCTTGATTGTGGTGACCTTTTTTACCATGTTCGTGGTGATGATGGCCCTTGTATCCTTTATGGCCCTTTCCACCATGCTCGTGGTGGTGACTTTTATGATGTTCTTTACCGCCACCTTTCTCATGGTGGTCGGAGGCTGCAATCTGTAGGTCATCAAAACGATCCTCTCTGAGGTCTCGTGCTAAAGATATGCTAAGAAAAACGAGCAAACAGCTCGCTACAAGCACTGCCTTCATTGTCAATGTTATTATTGCTAGAACTTGTTTCTTAATGAATACGCCGATTTACGACACGGTTTTATAGACAACTAGCCGAGAATTTTCTTTGTACCTTGATTGAGCAATTGTGGCAAGCTCACTCTATTATTTTCATTTCTTGCCAAGGTTGGCTCGATATGAATAAATGCAATGTATTCTTTTTAAAGAAAATTTACAGTTTGACTTGTTGACTTTTTTAATTGCTCGGACCTTAGGGTAAGTTTCGCTATGAAAGAGTTTAAATAAATATAAATTAAAAGGTGTTTAAACCTACAACACAAATGTTTTCATTAGAGATGGTTAAGACTGGGCTGCTCGGCGATTATTCACTTCACTTCGCTGGTGTATCATTAACTCAGTCTGAAAATCTTGTGGCACACCTTATGGTTCGTCACTGTAATAATTTACCCCCTTTACTCATTCTTATAGTTAATAATGAATTAATTACGTCATAGTCAAATTATAAGTTATTGAGGTACGTCACAGTCCGTGCGTACACACATATTAATTCTCAGTTTAATGGTAGGTTAAAAGTAAATGATTTAATTCCGAAGAAATTTTAAGGTTTTTCTATACACATGTACAAAACAAAACAAGCAAGTGGTTAGGTCGTACTTCACATCCAGCACGTGCAAATCCGTTCGGCTATATACGAGGATTCATAAACATTTAGCAGTTTTGGTCAACCTCGAATTAATTTTTGTATTCATGTATATTGTACAAATACAAATCATCAAGTGATGTAGACTAGATATTTAATACAATTATATAATAATTATAGGTGGTAGTTTGACAAGCCTTCAATAGAAATATATTGGTTTCCTGAACATAACAAAATTAGTATCACAATCATGGAATTAAATAGAATAAGTTAATTGGAATATTTTCTGCCACCAAAACTACAATGTGAGATTTATTAAGTAATTAAGTAAAAAACTTGAAAATATTATTAAAAATAACATTTTGTAATCTGAAATGGTTTCTAAAATATTGTCACATAGTTTAAAATTAATTAGTGAAGTACCTTGAGTTAATATGTGTATCAATTACCTAGCCGCTGGCTATCGAATAGAATGTCTGTATTAAATATCTTAAACAATTTATTTAAGACACATAAAGAAAGCTATTTAAAATATAATTGTTTGGAAATTTGTAAATATTTTTTTCTTTATAATAATGGGATCATTTTTGTCAAACAAGTAAATGTGTATGTATTCAATTTTATTAAAAACAAGTAAAAAATGTGTTTATTTTTACATGTAGTAATGTTAAGCTTATGGTCTTCATGACTACCTTTCTTACCGTGTTTATGATGATGGTCCCAATGTTCGTGGTGTCCTCCGTCTCCGTGGTGACCTTTGTGGTGATGATGATGTCCCCCGTTTTCATGGTGACCTTTATCACCATGTTTGTGTTCGTGATGTCCTCCATGCTTATGCCCTTTGTGGAAGTGTCCTCCCTTCTTGTGACCCCCTTAGTGGTGATGGCCCCCGTAATGTTCATGATGGCCCTTGTCGCCATGATGGTGGTGAAAATGTTTGTCTTTCCTGAATTCATCGTGTTTCTCAATACCATAGTGCCCTTTCGTATCATGGCCCTTATGCCAATGACCGTGTTACTCGTGGCCGTGGCCATGTTCACCGTGATGTCCTTTGTGTCCTTCATGATGATGATGGCCTTTGTGACCATGGTGGTCATCATGATGGCCTTTGTGTCCCTTAAGGCTATGACCTCCATGGGCGTGGTGATGATGTTCATGGTGCTCATGACCACCACCTTTATCCCATTTGTGGTCAGAAGCTGCAGTTTCTAAATCTGCTGATCTTTTCTCCCTGGTGACTTTCGTAGATGCAGTGACAACCAGTGCCACCAGCCCGAAAGCCACAAGCACGTAAATGCCCATACTGTAGTGTTACTTTAATGTTGTTAGATTCAACCACGAAAATGTTTCATACTGAAAGCTGCAGTCGATTAGAAAATTAATCCAGGTACAGACTCAAGTCAAGGTCGAGTTACCGGTTCTTACTTCCAGATTCGGTTTCCTTGCCGGATATTTGCCGCCCAATTGTATATTTATTGTAATAAAGAAAATATAGTGTATTACATTAAGAAACATTTTAAACATATAAGGGTCAAGGGGTTACATTTAGAGTTATATTAACAATGACATAAATTTCCTAAAAGTCTTGGTAATAGAAGCTGCTGGACATATGACTGAACTTTTTATGTGTTAATAATAGAGGGTCCCCCAAGATTTCTTTTATCAAAGCGCGAGTTATGTAACCTAACATTGGTTAAGTTACATATATATATAATTATATATATTAGTTAATAATTAGGAGCGCAAACCCAATGTTAGCAATCAGCGCACACTTGAAGCCAATATGTTAGTTATAAGCTTGAATTTTAAACGATTAAAGCCAGTTAATACCCAGCTTCAAACAAAGAGTTTCATTTAACATATATTTGAACATCCCTACAACAACTGCCACCGAACTTATCTCGCGTAGGCAGTGTTTTCGATTGCCTTTTTTTGACATCTACGACATAATTTTTTAGAAACATTGTAGAATTAGCTGATTTTAACTTAATTGAAATCAGCCCAACCCGTTGGCAACCCGTTTAGTTTCGTCTATCCTGGTCCCTGCGTCTGTTGTTCGGGAATACGTTGTTACGGTTCGCTCAAGTGGGATGCAGGGAAACGCTTAGATAAGTTAAGTCAACAACGCTGAATACCGGCGAATACGAAACTTTTAGACGTTTTATAGAAAAAAAAAAATTATCAAAAGTGTGAGTCTTCTAATTGGGGACGTAAAAAGTAAAGTAAATAAATATTTTCTTTCTTTTAATTCATATCACAAAATAATCAACAGTAACAAAAATACGATTGTTAGTATTACAATTCTTTACAGCAAAACTCAATAGTGCCCTTTATCCAAGCCCCAAGCTACATGATCAGCGTGACCACCTTTACTGCCGTGATCTTCGTGATTTCCCCAATATTCGTTGTTGGCTCCCTTATCATGATGCCCTTCATTGTCTGCATGGTGCCCACCTTTCTCAAAGTATCCTTTGTTGCCACCTTCGTGCTCATAGAATCCACCGCCACTGTGACCTTTATGGAAGTTGCTCCCTTCAGTGTAACCACCTTCAGCGTGGTGACCACCATATCCTTCTTCAAATCCTGATTCACCGTGTTTGTCATGGAAATGTTTGTCTTTTTTAAACTCGTCTAATTTATGTATTCCATGATGACCTTTTGTGGAATGACCTTTATGAAAGTGTCCTTTTTCTTCAAAACTATGTCCTTTCTCTCCCTTCTCACCATGAGCATGGCCGTCATAATAACCTTCGTCATGATGGTGATGTTTTTTGTCGCCACCACTTTCATCATAATGTCCCTTAGAGCCTTCGTGATCAGAGTGACCCTTCTTTCCATAACCATGATCGTGGTATCCTTTGTAGCCCTTATCACTGTGACCTCCATCTACTCCGTAATATTCTCCATGATGTTCCCCGCCATCACCCTTTAACCAATGTCCGGATGCTGCTTCTTCAAGATCTGCTTCGCGTTTCTGTCTAACATTTCTTGAATATACTGTAGTCGTAACAGCAAATAAACAGAAGAGCCCCAAAGTCTTCATGTTATCTTTATAAGATTTACTTACAGATTGACGATTGCCAAATGATGCCTGTTGCAAATTTTGGAGGGCTTATATAGTATTGCCAAACCGTACAGAGGTATTGATATTATTGAGTTTCAGTGTCAGTGTTTAGTGTCAGGGTAACAAAAATTGAACGTTAATCACGCAAATGACCTGGATTTTATCTTATAACAATGAAGTAAAACTTGAAGTTCAATATTAACGTTGAAGAAATCCAAACTTATACGAGTGTCTAGAGTTATAGTAGTTATAATAGTTGTTATTGTACAAGTGTGTGACTCTAACATGTATTTATACCCATGTCTTATCCTTTCCACACATTTAAATAAACAACCTTTTCAATTATATTCTGGGAGCGTCTTATCCCATCCCTAAAACTCTCGATTCTTTTGCATAGGACTGCGGAGTTTCAGTAAAACCCTCAATTCAAGCTCATTCTCTAAAGCTACAACACAGAAGGTACCTATGTATTTCTCCACATAGAGTATGTTTTAAACAAAACGTTTTGAAATCTGTACTGCCCCTCGCAAACCTCCGCGCCAGTTAGATTCTTCGGATAGCGAGTTCCTCCGATCTTATAAATATGAGTTTGTATAATGATCATGTTCGTATAATGGGTAACAGAGCCAACATAATGTAAAAATTATCTTGGTTTTAGCATACTCCCATTATATAAATTGCTTCATTATCTAACATCGAAGAATTACGTAGCTATTCATTTGATGATAAATGATTTTTTAGGGGTGATGTTCTCGTTTTCACTAAAGTCAAGGTTGTACGTGTCAAGGTGATATTATGAAATAGCTGTTCACTGTTTTTTATACGTTTTATTTTTCTTTTTAATTTCATCGATCTTTGCGTCACCGTTTCCGCACTGGTGCACACAGCCTGCTTCTCAATACGCTTACAATTACCAACGAAACCGCATGCCTCGATTCATTTACAACGAACATTTCATATTTAAATGGCAATTGTATTGTTGTTTTTACTCCAATGAATTCGTAAAGAAAAACTCAGATCGCGAATGGAAAATTAATTTTGGAGAAATATGAGTACATCGTAAGTTTTATAAATTGAACAAAAGCTTGGAGGATGGTTGGAGATTAACGTGTTGTATTTAATTAATTTTATATGAGTATATAAAGTAGTAGGGTTCAATTGTTTCAAATAATATAGAGTAAATATATAATTTGGAATATTGTACATATGTTACTTTCTCACTACGTTTACATATATCATTTATAGCTTTCTCACTAATCAACATATAAATAAGGCAATATACTTTGATTGATAATGATGTTTTTCAGGCCGATTCGGACACGGCGGCAATTTCTATTGATGCTGACCATTCAAGTAGGAGATTGTACAAGTGTGCTATATTCCATAGCTCTGATGACAGACTTCCGACACCAGAAAACATTAGGATAATAGGCATAGAATTGATACCATTATATGCACATCCAAGGCACGAGGGTGTTATAACACCGTTGGCTTACCTACTTAGATGTCATTTTAAGTTTTTGCTTGGAAATGGTGTATCCATTTGGGATCCACTGGGATATGAACCTGAGTCTTCATGCTCTGCAGTTGAATTTTCTAACCAATAAGGCAGCTGTGGTGATTAAGAATAGCGGAGCTTTTCTTTATCACAATAGCCTGGTTATTGTGAGAAATACACTCACAAATAAATTGTCTTTAGAGTTTGCGAATCCCTAATAAATGGGTCAATTAACTTGGCGTCGGTCGCTTGTCGATAGTGCTGTATACGTATCCGTTAACAATGCATCCATTATTGATTGTAATAGCCACGTAATGATCCGTGCTACTTGTTTTCATATTAATATCGATTTATGTCGCTTAATTGTATAATTTATTGGCAATATATTAGATGGGTGATATGGGTACTGAAAATATGCCCAGACGATGACAACACTTTTCTATAATGGTGATTCAAACTTCTTTAAAAATGAAAGTATTTTATATATCAGCTCCACTTTATGCATGTGTCGTTGATTAATGAATATATATGATTAATAATTAGAGAAGTACAATTTATATTTCATATATACATAGGTATATGTATATACTACAAAATTTTGTTTCTTTTATTTCGATTTTAAATTAATTTTATAATATAAAAGGAGTAGTAAAAGGAGCTATTGCGCTTATAATGTGCGGAATGGCATGTGAACCTAAATGATAAATAAATAATTAAAATTCGACAACTGGGCGACTGTTCGTTAAAATAATTGCTCCATTTTTCTTGTGAAAATAATAATGCCCTCATTACATTTTCATATAAGCTACTTATCAGAAAGGATAGGCTTTAACATTTATCAGTTTTCTGTTACTTTGGAGAAAATGACATTCAATTATTTTATAAACGGTAACAAGGTTTTATTGGTCCATTAACGAAATTAAAAATAAAAATTCAACATGTTGAATAATCAATAGAATAATGTGACTTAACGAAATTAAAATAGAAATTCTCAGAAATCACGTATTAAACTTCCTGCATTAATTAAACTGAACATAATGTTTTGTTAAATTCATCAATTTTTTTTATATTCAGATCACATAAAAATAAAACAAAAGTAACAATAAAAAGCGATAATATCTACAATGCTTTAAAATAACTCAGTAAAACTATAAATATGATTTTCATTGGTTCGATGGAGATCAATTACCGGGTTTTATACCTGGAAATTGGCCGTTTGACCAAGCTAGCAGGTAGGCATACGATCATAGTACATACTAACACTACCCAATCGTCCACATTTCATCCGTCAGAAACGTCTGGCGGCCCTGGGATCTTGCTCTATTGTTCATATTTATACAAATCTAAAACTTTATATTTCCGAGACTTAGAGGGAGGGAAAAAGGAATTTAATGAATTTAATTGTCATTAAAATATTAAGTGTCGAAAATTAATACAAATTATAAATTTAATTTTTTAAATTTATTTCTTCGATACTAAAAACACGTGGCATTTAAATTTACAATTCGTCATTTGAGATTTCAATAAATTATTTTGCATAAAATATAAAATACTAATATTTCATAAATTCTTTTTACGAAATTTTAATTTTTAAAATAGAAATTCTATAAGGTAATTCGCCCTTCTCACTCTCCCCCAATCGGTCGCAAACGCTCTCTCCCTTTTTTTCGACAAAAACGCAGCACATCTTCGTGACGCTAATATTATTATTATTGCGTTTCATTCGTAAAAATTTTACCCTCATGCGCTTAAAGAAGTTTCACTTCAAAAATATACTTTATATTTAAGCTTAGTTTAAAAAAATCAAATTACTACGACCGTAATAATTGATATCGAGTGGACAAGGGAAAGGCCAAAGGAATTCCGGCGTTCGAGCAATAGGATCGCTCGGCTTAGCCGGAAACTATTAATAAAATTGCACTGCCGTACGACGTGCTCTTCAATTGATTTTCATAAAGAGAATTGTCATTCCCATGGAGAATCTCTCTTGAACCGGGATGACAATAGTCGTGATATGAAAAGCAGGTGGATCGACCTTTCGTGTCTTGAATACTAAACATCTTGTTATCATCTTATTCCCGCTGTCGATGGGGGCTAAATTATACCAGCCATTTTCCAGTCGCGTTTTTTGAATTTGATTTTATAAGATTTCCTTTGTTTCTCAGCCACTTATATTGAAACTTCTGCTTCATTTCTTTTATGGTAATCATAAAATTTAAATCACTAAACGGTTGTGATGTTAAAATATAAATTTTTGCTCTAAAAATTCTAAATACGATATGAGGTCCAAATGATTATTTATTACTCTTTATTGATTTCTTTTATAGTAGTTATAAATTTGAGTAGCTTACAATTATATTTATAGTTAAAATATACAAATTCCTTGTGCACTTTTTAAATTGAATTTGCGTTCTATCTGTACTATGTAAAAAAATACCCGTTTCGTATCAAGTTTAAAAATTTTGCTGTATAATTTGCACATTTAATAAATTGTTAGCAGAGAGAGCTCAATTAAGAGATTGATTTAAACTAGAAATATTGTATTGCAACTATTTGTTTTTATATAAATAATTAAAGTCCGCTGTCCGTAGTATAAAATAATATATATGTTCATTAAAAGATTCTCGCTACTACTTGCTTCTACTACGTTTGGAATAATATAACATCATCAAATCTACTAAACTCTTTTGCAAAAAAGGGGCACCTTAAGAAATTTACATTCTAATGTCCATTTTAGTTATATAAATGTAATTTAATTGTCTGACGTAGTCTAGTCTAGTAGTAATTGTCTGACTGGCACTGGGCACGGGCCCAGTGCCCGTTATTTTTGCAAAAGAGCTTATCTAGCTATTCCGCAAAATTCTTCAATTTCTAGTTACTGCATTCAGTATTAAACGTGTTGAGCACGTTCAATTTTTCATTTGTTTAATTTAGCTATGATTAATCAGGATAACGAAAAAGATCCGTTAATAAAAGAAAATGTTCGTAACGCTAATTTGGTTAGTACTCAACGTAAAAGATTTAATGTTGTAAAAAACGCCGGGTACTAAAGGTACTCGACTTTAATAGGGGTGAAACTTTAGCGAAGTCTCGTTTCCGTAACCATTTGTCAAACAAAAAATATTACCCAACTTCCAGGAAAGGTTTCAGGCATGACGTTTATAAATACCCTTTCCATTACGGTGGAAGCTTTATGCAACTTCTATGTCACAAACTTTACAATTGTTTTAAAAGTATTAGCTACATTCTCGAAAGCTTTTCACAAAATGGCACAATAAAAATTATGATGTCTCTAGTGAAAAGCGTTCGTGCATGAAACGTTAGAACTAAAATAAGCAATATGTAGCAGTAAGTGGCGAGTGCAACACGGCACGATCGATGAGGACTCGTAGCCGTAGATTGAACGTAGACCCGATTACACATTATATAACGACTGAGAATTGCAATTACTGCATTGATTTTATTTAGTTTTCAGTTTTAA